GATAATTAATTAGGAGCTTCATACTGCCAAGGAAGAAATTGAAGAAGGCATAACAGAAGAAATTGAAAGTACAACTGAAGGGAAGTAACTACTTAATGGCAAAACACAAACTTCATGAAAAACTTGTCTAAAAATTGCATTTACTGTCAAAACCCATAGCATGCACAACGCTGAAAGTGAACCCTACCTAATGTAAACTATGGACTTTGAGTGATAATGATGTGTCACTGTAGGTTTATAGATTGTTACAAATTCACTACCTTTGTGCAGTATGTTGATAGTGGGGGAAGTAATATCCGTGTAGGGACAGGGGACATATAGGAACTCTATTTTCCACTCAATTTTGTTGTAAACCTAAAACTGCTCTAAAAAATAAACTTTATTAATTTTTACACGTTTAACATTAATGAAATATCTTTCATATAAACTTTAGCCAAAGAAAACATTTATGCTGAGATCATTTGTCAGAGAAACAGAATTATTGTAACTCTACTACACAGAATTTATTCATTATAACAGATTTTATGTCAATGTTCTCAAAAGGCTTTTTTTTTTCTTCAGATTCTAATTACCTACAATGTGACTGCAGAGACTGCCATATAAATTAGGACTTCTCTTGGTATTATTATTCAGTTTATAGTTATTATTGTGATTTTGTAAATGTGACACTATTTTAAATCACATTTTCATAGCTATGGACAAAATTAAAAATGCCTATTCAAAATACACTATTCACAGTTATAACAATACTAACTGCCAATCATGAAATTAATGAAGAAGGCAAGGACCATATCATGCAGTAGTTGCACAGGTGAGGGCAAAGTGTTGGATTTTATGCAAAAAGGAAGTTATTGGCGAGATAGTAACAAAATTTTTTTTTCGAAGCACTCTAGCTACTAGGTAAAGAAAGCATTGTAGTGGAACATGAGAGTAAATAAGGAAACCAATTAGGATGCAACTATAATAACCTAAATGTGGTACAGATAATTGTGGTCTCTAAATATTTCATGTGCTGTCCTACATTTCCCAGCCTTCACTGCACTTAAGTTGGAGCCATGTGACTAGCTCTGACCAACAGGCTGTGAGCAAAAGTGATAAAGTCATTTCTAGTCCATCTGACCAACTTCAAAGCCACTGTGCAGATATTATAGCTACAAGATGGAAGAGGATCACAGCTCAAACTACACTGGACTTTACATAAGCCACAGTAAACCTTTGCTGTGCAAAATTACTGAGATTAGAAGGTTAATGTGTTACTCTAGAGCTTACTGTGACTAAAACAATGAGTAAAAGATGAAAATGGCCTGGACTGGAAATGGGGTGGGAGATAAAGAAGAGATGAAGATAAGAGGATGGACTCAAGGTTGATTTTAAAGTAGATAGGACTTGAAGAAGTATGATGTGGAAGTAAGCATGCAGAAATCAAAGATGACCTTAAACATTGTTTCATTAAATTTTGCTCCAGTCAGAAAATTTCCCTATAACATGCCACTTTGCTGGGTTGTCAAACTGATTATTAGCTCATGGAAATAGAGAAAAATAAAAGTTTATGGAGTTAATGTTATTGTATTTCTAGTACAAATACTGATACTGAAACTAAATTTACAAAAATCATTTTTATGTTCATATGTGACATTAAATTATCCTAACATAGAAAAAGTAGTAATATCGGATTTAATTTAAGTAAACTAAATAATACTGGGGCTTTGTAATAAGTGAAATGAATTTTCTGTAAAGGATACCTTATTCTACATTTTAACAGGAGTAAAATCTGTTTGCTATGCTTAAAAATGGTAACCAATCTTTTCCATCAAAAATGTTCTCTTGCTTGAAAAACTGTCTTTCTAAAAACTATGGTTGTAAACATGTTACAGATAAGTATATGGCTCATTCAAAGGAGATTGACACCTGTTGTACCTCAAACACAAAACGTTTTATGTAAACAATTTATATAATCAATGATGTAATGGCTTTTATCTTAGAGTGTAACCAATCAGAACACAGCTGATGCAACAACAAACTAATAAGAATGTGAGGCAAACCCAGAATGTCTAGACTCCTCAGTTAGCATATAAGCCTGGCCTGCCAGGCCACTAAGATTTACTCCCTACATCTCTCTGGAGTGTGTTGAACTGATCAAAGACCAACACATGCCCTGATCTGCACTGGAAATAGGAGCCCCTACTTCTAGTGAAGATCAGGGCAAATACATCCATGAGTGGATACCACCTGGGCAGTGAGACTAGTCAGTCCTCAGAAAGGCAGCACATGCCTTCAATCCTCATCTTTACTTGTTTGCAGTCACAACTTAACTTACTGATGGAAATAAGTACAGGCTGTTTAAACCAAGTGGTTTTCAGTACAATTTCTCTTAGTACTAACTTCTGGTCAACATCATGAATCTACATCACTGTTTTGTTGTTGTTGTTTTGTTTGTTTTGTTCTCTCTCTACATCACTGTTTTAATCTTGAAGTGTAGTTTGTTCCTCAGAATAAGATAGAACTTTCTAATATTACACCTTAAGTTACCAAAACTTAAAGAAAAACTTGTATAATTTTGCCTTTAATAGAGTTTGTTAGCTTAGTAATAAAAATGAATTAACTATGATTTAAAAAATAAAAAAATAAGATCCAACTGTAAAAAATTATAATTCCAAGAAAAATAAGTTTTATCCTGGGGAAAATTACATTAAATTAGGCCAAACTTCTCCACTGGTGTTTGCTCACCTAGGAAGAGCTTAGTCTTCCCTGGAATTTGATTCCTTTAGACCAGGGGATAGCAAATTTTTCTGTAAGGAGGCAGACAGGAAATATTTGTTTCGTGGCCACAGGGTCTCTTTAATAACTACTCAACTCTCCTGTTATAGCATGAGAGCAGTCATAAATGAATGGGTGTAATGATGTTTCAATAAAACTTTGTCTACAAAAACAGACAATAGGCCAGATTTGGTCCATGGGCCATAGTTTTCCAATTCCTGACGTGGAACATGTTTTCATATGCATCCTATGCTTCCCAAGGGATTATGACTTCCTTTAATGAAGTGTCTTTTTAAATCTTTTGCTCATATTTAATTGGCTACCTTCCTGTCCATATAAGACTGTCAGACTGTATGTATTGGAAATACTTATAGCTCTCAATCTGTAGCTGGCCTTTCATTTTCCTAAAGGTGTCTTTTGAGCAGCAAAAGATTCTAATTTTGATGAAGCCCAATTTTTCAAACCTCCCTTTTATAGATAGTTCTTTTTATGTCCTAAGAAATATTTGATTAACATGAATTCATAAAGATTTATTCATGTTTCTAAAATATCAAAAAGTTTTAGTGTTTTTACTTTTAGATCTATAATCCAATTCAAGTCAAGCTCTGTGTATTGGTCCAGGTAAGGGTCCAGATTCATTATTTTCTATAGGATATCTAGTTCCTGAACCATTTGTTGAAAAGATTCTATAATCCTTTAATAGAAAAAAAAAAACAAAACTATCCTTGAATAGATAAAAGACTATATGAATACTACATGTTGTATATACACTTACATACACACTGAGAGCACTTAGGATATCTGTCTATCATCTATCTACCTACCTACATGACTATCTACCTACCTACATGACCCAATACGACACTATTATTGTAGTTTAGAGTAATTCTTAAAATCCAGTAAATTCTTCAACTTTGTTATTTCTCAATATTGTTTCGACAATTCTAAATTTGAGAATCAGCTTGTCAATCTCTTAAAAAAAAAAAGAGCAGCATTTTGATAAGGATTTCATTGCATCCATGGATCTATTGGTGGAGAATTAACACAATACTGAATCTCCTAATCAATGTATAAGGTATTATTTCTCTGTGTATTTATGTACTGGTAATTTCTCTCAGCTATGTTTTATAGAGTTTTAAAATTTTATTTCTATGTATTTCATGTTTATGGAAGCTAGTATATAGCATTCATAAATTGTTTGGATGATAGTATATAAAAATACAGTTGATTTTTATGTGGTGACCTTATATACTTTGACCTTGTTAAATTCACTTAGGAGTTTTAGTATCTTCCTCATAGCAATAGTCCTTAGGATTTT